CTTACATTAGTAGACTAAAGAGAATAGTAGTAAGATTGTTGTTGCGATGCAACTACTTAAGAAATAAAGAAGTGATAGTATATTGCTAATTGTAGAAAAATTTTTTGAAAGAAATGCTCTCTATGCTTAAATTGAATTAGGGGATGTATGCTGTTATAGCAAAATATACCAATGGACAAAATAAGAAAGGAAAATTTGGTGTAACTTTGAAGGGGCAATTGAAGATATTGTTTATGTATTAAGAAAAAATAATCATAAAGATGAAAAATAATGGAAGAGAATAATTTGACAAAGTGAAAAGGAAACTATGATGTAAAAAGGACTATGTAAATGAGAAGATGTAAAAGAAAAAAACCAGAACAACGTTTTGCTCCTATAATACGTATAATTCGTATTAAAAAATAAAAAACCTTGAATGACAAAAGGAAGGTTGGCAGTTCGGCGGTTCGAATCCCTAGCACTGCTTAACAGAGTGAGCTCCCGTTACTTGTCCCAGCTTCTGCCAACCTAGCACTTCGAAAGCAGGTAAAAAATGCAAGTAGAAAAATAGGAACCACCTTTGGTGGGAAGATCACAGTGTTCTGTGCGCCTTCGGCATTGAGTCATGCCAGCCACATGATCACGGAGACGTCTTCGGACAGCGCTGGCTCTTCGGCTTTGAAACGGAGATGAGTAGCGCCCCCTAGAGTCAGGAACGACTAGCACATACGTGCTAGGAGAACCTTTACCTTTAATATAATATTTAGGAATCTTCTAGTTCATACTGTAAATGTCTGTTTAAAAAAAAGCACAGTGAAAATCATTTGCAAAACAAGATATTCTTAGTTGTTCCCTTCAGTTCAGTGTAGAGGGAACAAGCACAAACAACGTGGTTTGAAACTTGTCACAAAATCGCCTTTCATCCGTCCAGGTTCTGGGACTAGGAGAAGAATGGCCTGAGCGAGAGGACCAGAGGACAGCAGGTGGACAGAAGGTCCGTCTTTTGAAATCGGCTTTGGAAGCCTACGCAGATAAAGAAGATTTGGTGATCCTTTTCACCGAGAGGTAATTCCTGGCTGAGCAGAACAAACATGAGCTGGGAGAGTCCTCTCTGTATTCAGAGGAGCTGAAGGTAGTCCTCTATTTACGACCACAACTGAGGCCAAAATATCTGTTTGTTCAGTGAGACATGGGTTTTGTCCTCTTTTTACGACCTTTTCTGCCGCCGTTGTTCAGTGAATCACTGCAGTTGATAAGTTCAGTAGCAGAGTTGTGAAGTGAATCTGGCTTCTCCGTGGATTTTGCTGGTCACAAAAGGGGGGTCGCATGACCTTGGGACACAGTGACAGTCATAAATATGAACCAGCGGACAAGCGTCATGACAGCAGCGTTCCAATATCTCAGGGGCTTCCACAAAGAAGAAAGTCCAGGTTTCTGTGATACGAGCCAGCCGTGTGCGGCAGCTGCCAAAAAAGCCAACCCAGTTCTAGGCTCCATCAACAGAGGGATAGAATCAAGATCATGTGAAGTGTTGCTACCACTTTATAATACTTTACAGCAGTTCAAATCCCTAGCGCCGCGTAACAGAGTGAGCTTCCAATACTTCTCCCAGCTTCTGCCAACCTAGCAGTTCGAAAGCATATATAAATGCAAGTAGAAAAAATAGGAACCATCTTTGGTGAGAAGGTAACAGCGTTCCATGCGCCTTGGGCATTGAGTCATGCCAGCCACATGACCACAGAGACGTCTTTGGAAAGCGCTGGCTCTTTGGCTTTGAAATGGAGATGAGCACCGCCCCCTAGAATCGGGAACGACTGGCATATATGTGCAAGGGGAATGTTTACCTTTTTACCTTTACCCCACTCCATATAATCCCCACTCCCATTTTCCCACAGCGTTAAATGTGGCAGGCCTGAAGGCCCAAGTAGAAGATGGCTTCCGGGCCTGACAGGCCGCCCTCCCTCAGGAGAAGTACAGTGCAGAAGTCCTGTAACGAGAGTAACACAGGGGGTTAAAAACCATACGATTTAAACCACCTCAGGTGATCCTTCAGGCCTGCCAGGGGGGTAAAACTTTCCTTCAGGTGTCTCTCCTCCTCCTCTTGCAGCTACGACGTCATCTTTGCTTCGGGACCTGCAGAAGTCCTGAAAAAGTTCAAGCAGGCCAAGTCAAAAGTTGTCTTCTCATCCGAGACCCTCATCTATCCGGACCGGAGGTTGGAGGCCAAGTACCCGGTGGTCCAAGAAGGGAAAAGATTCCTGGGATCTGGAGGTAAGGAAAAGCGTGAAGCTAGAAGCCCTCGGGAGGACCTCGTGAGCGAGCGGGAAGGAGAGGGGAGCTGGGAGGAAATATTACCTTCAAAATACACATTTTTCTTTGGCGTCAGCGCCTATCAGTGGGCTAAGCTGCCCCTTTGAGCTCAAGGAAGAGAGAGGGGAACATTTGCAGGCAGTTTTCAATTTACGACCGTTGGTTGACTTGACCTTTTCAAGTAACAAACGACACTGAAAAAAGGGACTGGATCAAAATTTAGATGCTTAGCAACGGGTTCATATTTATGACGGTCGCAGCGTCCCGGGGGGTCACGTGATCTCCTTCGGCGACCTTCTCACCAGCAAAGTCAAGGGGGAAGCCGCTGTTCTGACCCAGCTCTCCAAACACAACAAGCCCTCTGTATTTAACTCAAAGATTCCTTTATTAGGAGAGACGGCAGCCCCGGCAAAAAGTTTCTCTCTCACCGCAGGCTAACAAGTATGTCCAGCAGGAAGATGAATAGTTGTCTGCCACATCTATTCATCTCCGCCCCTTGCCTTTTATCCCCAGAGCTAGGGTGGGGCTTCGCTAGCAGCAGTGGCTCTTCCATCCCAAGGACCAGCCCATAGATTTCCACTGTTCTCCTCTCCTCTGCTACATCTATTCATCTGTGCCCCCTGCCTTTTATCCCCAGAGCTAGGGTGGGGCTTCGCTAGCAGCAGTGGCTCTTCCATCCCAAGGTCCGGCCCATAGATTTCCACTGTTCTCCTCTCCTCTGCCTTCTGCGTCTCGAGCACTGGACCCAGCTGTTCCTCCTCTACCTCATCAGCCACCTCCAGACCTGGGGGCTGTTGACTCTCCCTTTGAGGGCTGACGGACGGCCCAGGCTCCGCCTCTGTCTCTGTCTCTCTCTCTCTGTCTCTCTCTCTCTCTGTCTCTTGTCTTTCTCTGTCTCTCTCTCTCTGTCTCATCTCTGTCTCTGTCTCTGTCTCTCACTCTCTGTGTCTCTCTCTGTCTCTCTTTCTCTCTCTCCCACGTCTCCTCCTCCTCCCCTGATTTGGCTGCTGGAGGTGCCAGCGGCTGACAGGCACAAAAGCCAGGCAACTGCAGTGATTCATTGAACAACTGTCTCGCATAGCAATGGAAATGTTGGATTCAATTGTGGTCGTAAGTCAAGGACCGCCTGTATTCTCTCTTCCTGCAGGATTCATCGGTTATGCTCCGTATCTCAACCAGCTTGTGGCCGACTGGCAAGGCCTGGACAGTGAGAGCGACCAGATGTTTTATACCAAAGCGTTCCTGGACCCTGAAAAGCGGGTGAGCCCTAAAAGCAGAGAGTATTTGTGGCTGACCAAGAAATGCAGCAGATGTTTCAGAATCTCTCCTGGGCTCCATTTTTGCAGAGGGCTGCAGGAGGCTGTCGCAGCTGAAAACAGAGCCTGGGAAGGCCACACACAGCCCTCCCGGGCTCCGTTTTTGCAGAGGGCTGCAGGAGGCTGTCGCAGCTGAAAACGGAGCCTGGGAAGGCCACACACAGCCTTCCCGGGCTCCATTTTTGCAGAGGGCTGCAGGAGGCTGTCGCAGCTGAAAACAGAGCCTGGGAAGGCCACACACAGCTCTCCCGGGCTCCGTTTTTGCAGAGGGCTGCAGGAGGCTGTTGCGGCTGAAAAGGGAGCCTGGGAGGGCCCCACACAGCCCTCCCAAGCTCCGTTTTCTCTGGCAGAAGCACTGTGGGCTGGTCCTTTGGGGTTTCCAGGATGGCTTCACAGGCCAGATCGAAGCACCCCGTAGGCCAGATCTGGCCCCCGGGCCTTGAGTTTGACATCCCTGCTGTAGAGCCATGTGCCCGTCTTACATTTACTGTATCTCGTCCCTCCCTTATCGTATTTGCTGTTTTTCCCCTCCTTCTTCTTCCTCTGCAGAAGACCCTCAACATCACTTTGGATCATAGGTGTCGGATCTTCCAAAATCTTAACGGCGCTCTAGGTGAGAATTCGTAGAAAGGAAATCTTGCGTCCCAAATAAAATTTTGGCCGACTTAAGGGTGATTCTTCCGCTCTTGCTGGAGAACAAGCTTCACGGGACTTAGGACTGCCGGGGAGTCTCTGGGTAGATCCCCGAGGCCGTTGACCTCTGCCCAAATTACTTACGTGGTTTGCCAAACAACTCCAGTTGGAGTCAAACTACAACGTTTGTGTAAAAATAGAGCTCGAGTAGCAGACGGCTACTCAAAAAACACAAAAAACCAGCAGCTACAAGCTTGTTCTACAGTTGATAGAAGATTTGGGATTATTCCTCCCCTCCCGCTCCCACTCTGTCTCTCTCTCTCTCTCTGTGTCCCTCTCTTTCTCTCTCCTTTCATTTTTCTCTTTCTCTCCCTCCCTCTGCCTCTTTCTCTCTTTCTGTCCCTCACTTTCACCTTTCCTTTCCTTCTTTCTCTTTTTTTTTCTCTTTTTCTGTCCCTCTCTTTCTTTCTCTCTCCCTTCCTTTCCACTTTCTCTCTCTCCCCCTCCCTCTTTCTCGCTCTCTGTCCCTCTCTTTCTCTCATCCTTCCTTTCCTTCTTTCTCTTTTTTTTTCTCTTTTTCTGTCCCTCTCTTTCTTTCTCTCTCCCTTCCTTTCCACTTTCTCTCTCTCCCCCTCCCTCTTTCTCGCTCTCTGTCCCTCTCTTTCTCTCATCCTTCCTTTCCTTCTTTCTCTCTTTCTCCCTCCCTCTCCCTCTCTCTGTTCCTCTTTCTCTCTCCCTTTTCTTCTTTCTCTCTTTCTCTGTCCCTCTCTTTCTTTCTCTCTCCCTTCCTTTCCTCTTTCTCTTTCTCTCTCTCCCCCTCCCTCTTTCTTGCTCTCTGTCCCTCTCTTTCTCTCATCCTTCCTTTCCTTCTTTCTCTCTTTCTCCCTCCCTCTCCCTCTCTCTGTTCCTCTTTCTCTCTCCCTTTTCTTCTTTCTCTCTTTCTCTGTCCCTCTCTTTCTTTCTCTGTCCCTCT